GACTCCATCGTTTTCGAAAAGCTCCGTCTTCAAAACGTTTTCTGTCCACACTAAAACGAAAAGCTGCCGTTTTCAGATTCGCCCAGTTTCAAGAGCGTTTTCGAAAAGCTCCGTTTTCGTGACGGATTAGAGCGGACGGTAGACCTAACCGTAGAAATAAAGTTGCGTTTTCAAATTTCTCCAAGGCAGTGTGGACATAGCCTCAGACGCCAAGCCATGAAACCATCCCTTTAACAAATCTAAGAATTTTAACCTGGAACCAATCGATAGTACAGCAGTTGATGAGCGATGGAAACATCCTAAGTCTGTTCCTGAAGGCGTCTCCAATAGGACTCATACATAACACCACGTGCAGGTTACGACGAACACGCTCAATGAAGAAGTTGTACATTGCCAATGGACTCGAATCCACTTTCAGGTTTCTCTCTTGAACGATATTTTGCATCTGGTTAATGAAGAGAATAAAACAACAGCTTACACGAGTCACAAACTTCAAAGCAATGGTCTAAAAGCATCACTAGTAGATGATAAACTTGACGTTAAGAAAGGTAAATTAATCTCCAAAGCAAATTTGGAAAGCTAATGTTTCGAAGAGTTGGCACTTTATTTCCTCTAAACAGAAAATAAAGACATCATTATCATTAAACTTAGTTGGACTGGCGCTCGAAACTTCATATTTCAGAATTGGCTGTTTCTAGTTGAGAGCTTACTGAGTATTTCACGCTTAGTGACGTTTCTACGTCAACTTATAAAAGCCTCAACAAGCAAAGTTAAGTACCAAGTACTGAAGCTTAGAATGTAATTCTTATCCCCTGGTTTATAATCGTTTTCTCCCGTTCTAAAGTAAGCCAGGTGTTTATGCTCAAGATCCCACTGAAAGATTACAGTAGTATCACATTTCTTTACCTGCTCTGTGATTTCAGCTTTTTCGTCTGACTCGTAAATGTTTGGTACATCGCCCGTGTTTAGAATCATGTTGATGTCTTCTAGGAACGCTTCATCCTAGCCAGCGAGTAAAAAAGAGCTAACACAAATTCCACATACACTCTATGTTGTATCAACGAACATAGAGTAACCACATTTTGGGCCAGGAGACACCACGCGTTTTGTTGTTCTCCGGTCAGATAGGCCAATGGGCGCGAACACAGACTTTAACCTTAATGCTCACGCCAGCTGATGATCACCAAACAGGACTAACATCCCGGGGGATGGGGGAATGGAAATACTGCCGATCGATTCGTGCTACGGAAACCGGGGATACGCGCCGGTAAGATCGGTAGTTAGGCTTGAACACAGATTTTACTCTAATGCTTACTTTAATCTGATGATCACCAAACAGGATTAACATCCCGGGGGGAAGTAGAAATATCCTGTAGTCGATTAATGCTACGGAAGCCGGGGACACCCGCTAGTCAGATCGGGCACTAGGCTCGAAAACAAACTTTACCATAATGCTCTCTTTAAGCTGATGATCACCAAACAGGACTAACATCCCGGGGGGAAGTAGAAGTATCCCGTAGCCGATTAATACTACGGAAGCCGGGGATACCCGCCGGTCAGATCAGCCACTAGGCTCGAACACAGACTTTACCCTAATGCTCTCTTTAAGCTGGTGATCACCAAACAGGACTAACATCCCGGGAAAAGTAGAAATATCCTGTAGTCCATTCATGCTACGGAAGCCGGGGATACGCGCCGGTCAGATCCGCCACTAGGCTCGAACACAGACTTTACCCTAATGCTTACTTTAAGCTGGTGATCACCAAACAGGAACACTGTAGACACTCCATCAAAGCCCGCTTTCCGTAGCATCTTCTTCACATCTTCCCTCCAGTCTGTGAATGTGTACGTCTTGGTGATTTCAATTTGGAAGAGTTCATAATCTGACATGAAAGCCGCCAGCTTCGTAGCACTTGCTCGACCTGACCCACCAATACCTAAAAACACGATAAAAAGATTATTAAATCTAAACAGAATAATATTAACGAAGGATTACTGGAATACAAAGACACCTTTACATAGTTACTACCCTTGAACAAAGCAATCAATGTTCAACTTTGCTTTAACTTGTCTTCTTCAAAAGACAAGTCTCATTGACAATGACAAGATGGTGGTCATTAACAACACCGTCATCATACCTATTGCAAACTTAAAAATACAATTTCCCAGGTCCAAAAACCTTTGGATTTCACTAACCAGATAATATATCCTTGGCTTTTCTCTGACCTTGCAAATTCATTTCCCTGATTTTTTTTTCCAGACCTACGACAATCTCACTTTGTGTGATAAAATTTTTACTGTGAACACGTAAGTTGGCTAACGATAGTTGATGCGGTCGACAAACGTTCTAAGAAAACGATAATTCTGGCGTAAAGAAAACGTTACTTCAAGGGTGCCTAAATTGTGAGAAAAGTTCTGCAGAAATGTCAAGATTTTAGCAAATGTGTCGGGCACGGCCCTTAATTTAGCGTTAAATTACTCCGACTGGGGTGGACGCCAGAAGGTCGAAGGGCGAGCCAAGAGAGAACGGAAACTACTCGGAGAAGTTATTAATTTCGGAAGAAAGCTACCGAATACATCAGACTGATTTGTACGTACCTACTAACAGCGCATGTCCATTAGGTTGGCGGAGGACTCGACAGATCCTCGACACGTGTTCAATGGCGAATCTAAACAACACCAGGTCCATTGGAGCTTTGCTTGAGACGTTATAATCTTCTAGAAATCCATCCATTATCTAGAAAAGAAGAGACATAGAACATGCCATTTCCGAAGTCTGTATAACTTGTGATTTGCTGCGTAAGTGTAGTAAAGAAAACGACAGGAATTCCAATTCTCCGCCGTTCTTGTGAGTCATGGAGCTGTTCGCTCTACCATTGTGTGCTAAAAGACTTCCAGCTACCTAGCTTATTTAAATTCGGTAATTTTAAGGCTTGTTCAATTAGCTAACGTGCTTTTCACCACAAGAAATGGCTCAGACTATTGCTCTTTATGGGTTGAACCGATTCCTACAAAAAGGGGTTTATCTTGAATTCCAAAATTACTCTTGTAACTAATAACCTTTGACTGAAATGAGTGTAGATTCAAGACAGCTGCCGTTTTCACAGTGAAGACTGACACGGATTGTCTCAGGTAAGTAGCCGTTTTCACACCTTTGATGATAACCTTCGATTGAAATGAGTGTAGATTCAAGACAACTGCCGTTTTCACAGTGAAGACGGACACGGATTGTGAAAACAGCCCGCACTGCAAGCTCCTCATTACAGTCAAGGGAGCAACTGCTTTGTTCGGTAAATCTTCGTGGAAACGGCGAAAAAGGTTTACGATTCTTATCGGCTAATCAGAAACACGACAGCTTCAAGTCATCAGGATACACTGCTGTAACCTAGCAACCGTTCCGCTGAAAACTACCGGCGCAGGTGGCTCTTGAAGACGACCGCAAAAGCAGCACACCATCATAAGAATCAGAATTATAGTTTCCACTAAATGTTCTTCACTTTAATACACTTTCCCACTTTGTTAACTTAAACTTCATTTTGGATCACTTATAGTTAAAGGGCCACTGAGTTCGCGCCATCTTTAGTCATTTAATAATGCATAGGGGAAAAAACTGAAATAATTACCTAGGGCAGAAAAACACCAAAGAGGCAATGATAAAGCAATAACCGTCGAAGCTGCTACAAAATGAGCGCTCGTTCAAGTAACAGGTGTAAATGTTTCTAAGCAGCTGTAACATTTTAACGAACACTTTTTGCACCGTTTTCGAAAGCGCTTTCCAATGAACTGCGTTACAGTTTGTAACTGTCAAAAAGGAAATAAAAGTCGAGTGTCATTCGCAACCTACCTAAATCTCATGTTATCATCTTGATCATCCTAACTACGTTTTGTTGTTAATCCTTCCGTTCAAACAAAATCCCAGTAATCTGCTTTCAACCTTCGTGCTTTGATGCATTTTAAAAGCGTCTGATTGAAAAGACCGATATATAAAAACAGTCGAATTCTCCACCTTTGGAAAAAGATACAATCGACTGAAAAAAAAAACGAGAAAAACCGAGAAATCAGAATTGAAAATTTGTTCGAAAAGAGTTGCCTTCGGTACATCAAAATGATTTCTACAAATACTAAGTGTATTAACGCAATAGTGAGCAAAAAAGTGTGCAGTAGAAAAATTTAGTGACATAACAACTGTAATAACTCACTGCAACGAAAAATCATCACTTTGCATTTTCATAAACGTCTTGAAATGCAGCTTGCGACGTAGCATACTTTCAACAATGTCCTGGTTGCCAGGACTTCAAGATCACACTATTGACTTAAACGCAAGCTATGACATCGTTCAAGAATAATTCCTAACAAATTTGACCTTAAAACTCCTTAAACATGCCTTTAAACTGCGGAAAAACTTCGAACAACGCCAGAAATGCACTGAGAAAATTTGGTCGATATGGTAAGTAACATTCTCTGTTGATAAATGATCTATTATGCTTTTCTAAGAATATCATTGTGGTCCCGTTTATCATCCTTGTTTGTAGCTGTAAATACATAGATTTAGCCAAGCCCGAAAGCGGAGCTGCCATAAAATAGTAACTCATTTACTCGACACAATATCCCTTAAAGAAATTCACCATTAAGCACTTAAACAAACCGAATAAATTGAACAAAACGAGGAACTCTACATTCACACTATATCCATATCTTTAAATCCGAGCATCAAATAGCAAATCCTGTCTCAACGAAGAATAGCCAAATGAAAGAAATGTTCAAGAAAATTCGTTTAAGATTGATTATCATTCAGATTATCATCAAGGTAAAGCTGAAAAAATACATTTAGAAGCCGAAGTCCAAAATTTCAAAGACGTGCGGTGTTCAAGTTTAATAATTGTTCACGCTAAAACGTAATTTGAATAACACTTTTGCCGACGGCTATGCAGTCATTTTATCACCCGTAGCTTTACCAGTCTCTTACCAATAACCTTTAAAGAATTCTCCAATGAGCATTTCACCAAACTAAGTAAATTGAACACACAAAACGAGCAAATCTCTATACGTTGTAAACACTATGCAAATCACCACGTCAGTGCAAGGGTCAAAAAGCAAATCCTTTCTTGGTCTACAACCGCAGCAGAAGAAATTTTAGCAGTCTACGAAGCGGTTGTCCCTACTAACACAAAAGAGTCGCATGGTTTGCCATTTCTTTGCATGCACGTGGTTCCTTTTCTTTTAGTTATAGTACTCCGCTTGGGCTCCGCTATAAATATCCCCACGACTGAACCTGACATACACAACCAAGGTCTAGGATGGACAAGTCTAAGTGTCTGTATCGTTTCTTTCTTTTCCCTTATTTTTTTTCTGAACGAAATGTGTAATCAGGCAGCACCTTTCTGCTTCAGCTATAACAAATGAGTTTCCTCTAATTTCACAATTAACTCACCACTCATTATTCAACAGATTAAGGCATCTTTCTTTCGGTAAAAAAGGATGCAAGAGGGAGGAGAAAACACTCAAGAAATAATTTTACACACCGATCATTTCGCTGGAAAAATTCGCCTGTTTCGCAAGAAAATAATTATTTTGCTTTTGTTTCACAGCTCACACATACGAGGTAGCATCGACATAGTATAACAAAGCTTCCAATAAAAAATCCATAATGGCACAAGAATTTATCTTTTTGATTATTATGAAGTTTTTTTTTTGTTTTTTGTTTTTTTTTTTTTGATAGTCAACCAAACGAAATGAAACGCATCAGCAGTGAAAACGATCTGCGACAGGTATTCTTGTGGCGCGTACAGTATTCTTTCAAGTCAAAGTGTAACTTGAAAAAAATAAACTAACGCCTGGTCCAATTAGGAACGAGTAACACGACCTGAAAAGAAAATTTACATTCGGGTATTTACTGAAGTTACCATGTGCGGTGAAACAAAATTGTCTCCAAGAGTGATATAATTCTAGCTGGATAGCAGACATTGCTAATTGCCTGATTTCAATTCCGCTATTAACACGAGATTCAGTTAGCGCAGGTACGACCAGCTATGTTTCAGGTGGAATCAGAGCACCCGTTCCTAACTCTCTTTACACTCAAACTTAAAAAGGATGTAGTTTAGCTTAAACCAAATAAGTTAAATGGTGAACAGTTTGTCGCAGCACGTAGAAATTTTCACGCAATTTTTACTTACAGTGCCTGGATTTCGACGAACATCGCATGTTTGCAACTGGAGAACTTTTCAAGTACTCTTCGCAACACTGCTTATTATTGCTACGTTTCATGTTTTTTCACAACATCAATTTGAATTTACCGACTCAGTGGCCAGATTTTGGATCAATGTTGTTTACAAACAGACGAAGTGCAACGACGTTATTCGACAAATGCGGAATGGAAAATGGCGACCACGCCACGATCTTCGATCCGAAGATGAACTTCACAGGAGAGAACAAGACTTAAGGATCAGAAAGCTCCGAGGATTACCGATAACGTTACACAGAGAAGACATGCATTGTGGAAACATGTTCCCAATGGAAGCACCCGATTTCGGTGCAGCCATTCCCTCTCTGTGCGACCCCTTCAGTTCATCTCCATGTTGCAATCACGTGTCTGCTACGTGCGGATCAGGAAAGGAAAACTGCGTGTGCGACAGATGCACGGATTTTAGGACCACGGTAGTCGCGGAGCTGACCGAATTCGTTCCTTCTTCTGGATGCCAGTTTAAAAACTTCACCAGCAAACAAGCTTGCCAATTGTTGTCTCAACAAGTTTCAAGTGTCGAGTTAATCGGTGATTCTTTAGTAAGGCATTTCCATAATGCACTGATCATATTATTCACCGACGACAGAGAAACTGGTTGTCTAGTCAAAGACATCGACGAAACACACAGAAAACTATGTTCAGGCGACATCCAATTTGTAGACGCAGGTAAAGTAGCTTGTCATGGCAAAACCGCTAAAAACATCTCTCAACTGCCGCCAGGGAAATTTTGCCTTGGAAAGCACGAGTTCGAGTATTCTTTTCACGAATTTTATAGCATGAAATACGCCGAGTTGGCGCTCAGCAAGGTCCGCGCAAAACTCAACAAGACAAACTCTGTGATTGCTCTAGGAGTTGGGCTTCACATGGGGTTAGATGCTAACAAAGTATTCACTGGTTACCTTAAACCAATGGTACAGCTGAAAGATCAAGCAGCAAGCAAATGGCCGCTTATTGTGTGGCTCACCACGCATGCGCATGGGAGCCTTAAACCGACCGCGTACCTTGAATCTCAAGGCAACGGGAAAATATCTCGGTTTAACAGCGATATGAGGGAGTTTCTTGAACCCATCGGTGTTCCTGTGTTTGACACTTTTAACTTAACCTTTGGAGTTCACAGTTATGACGGCACACATTATGGTTTTGGAGTGAACATGATGAAGGCTCAGCTATTTATGAATTTTCTTGATGAGACGTTTCAGCAAAAAGGGTCTTAACCCTTTCTATGACAAATGATAGGTTTGCTCTAATACCGTAAGAATCAAGGAGCTGATCAAAATGTCCTCACCTAAAACAAAATTGGACGCTTTCATCTACAGCCTTGGCAACAAGGGTTGGCAAACGTCATACTATACGCATTTTGCCCCTCCCCACCCCTGTGCAATGTTGACAAAACACTTTCATGTGACCATTTTCCAACATTGAAAGGGGGAATGGGGGTGCTGACACGCGTCTGGAAGACGTCATAAACGTATCATTTTAAACGACACGGTCCGTTTGCAATAACTGAATATAAGCTCAAGACCATAATATAAAGTTCAATAATCAGCTACCACACATAACGACAAGAACAAAAAAAAATGTAATGTCTTACCGCAGTAAGACCTTCCGTGTCTTGTATCTCATCATACAGACGAGGATTCGCCTTACGGTCCATGAAGTCACCAAAAAACAAGCTGAAAATAAACATACAACCAAGATTTCTCGAGTGGACAGTTGTTTAAGGTGGGAAGTTGTTCTTTCCATACTTTCAAAAAAGTTCTTATTGTATAGATATTAATAGCAGCAAAGTTGAACCCAATACTTCCCAGACGGGGAACAAACAACACTGCGATTATGTAATTCATGCATAGTCTATGAGCATAAAACAAAAGATGTCCACAGCAGGGTCAAGGAACTTCCAACATAAATCTTAGCTTGTTTGTTTTCTTCTCAGATGTTTACCGGGCTTCTTAACCATTGCCTCTATTAAACTATAGGGAATGGGAGAGTTAGAATATCCAAACAAGTGTACCGCTACCTTCTGAGACTGTCATCAGTAACCACGCCTCCTCTGCCTGCCAGGTGTTCAAGAACATTGTTCATCTTTTCCTTGAATTCTGACGCCATGACATTCTGAAGTCAACACAAACAAAACACACTACAATGACGCCTCTGTACACCAGGCCCCAGTAGTTTGAAGGCTGCAAAACGCTATCCACCGGATAAAATCGCTATCCAGTGGATAAGTGTTAACAAAACAAACCACGGTATCCGCTGGATAGTGATTTATGCAGTGAATTATAACGTTATCCCTCTTTCGAAAAACCTTGGCCACAAGTTAATTTAACTTCACTCGGTACACACAGTTACAGACAACAGTCAGAGGCCATAGTGCACACATCGGTGAACGAGACGATTTGGGACACGGTCGACTCACTAGAACCGACATCAATGAAATATTGAAAATCTTAATCTTCAGCTTCTCACTCGCCTAATCTCGTGGGCAAGCCTTCGTGACGAAATGAGAATCTAAATAAATGCCGTCAGGCCTGAGCAGTCCAACAGTTAAGTGTTGTTTAGCAAATCTGAGAAGTAGAAGTACCAATAGACGTCCTGATTCTTTAAACTTATTTCTTGTTCAACTGCAATTATAACATAACTAAAGCAAAGCGCGCGCTCTGATTGGTTAATTTAGCGTCTACTATTTGCCCATGGGTGTACGCTGCTGACTTGTGTGCTAATGTTTACAATGGAAATCCTTTGACAGACATTGTTTCCAAAGTAATGGCCGACGTCCTTCTCCCAGAAATACGAAACTGTCTTCACAGTTGTGTGAAGATGAAACTTTATCGAGTTACTGGTGTGCAGTCGGTTGTCATNTATGTTATAAAACAAATGGTAAACGCCATAGCGTGCACTATTGAGTTATGGATGCTCTTAGGAGGTTTGCTAAGCAGTCAAGAAGCTAGCTACTCTTACGCTTCTTTCGTGCTTAGCAACCTCCCGCGTGCATCCATAACTCAATAGTACACGCTATGGCGTTTACCATTTGTTAAATAGTATATTGTCACTTCAGTATGGCATCCAAGGCCTGGTCATATCATATTGCCTAGCTGCACGTCTGCCGAAAACTCTGGGGCTTTGTCGGCGGATTTCCGATTGAAGAATGTGGAATCCTACCTTAACTATTTCGAAGAAACACTGTCGATCAGCTGAGTCCACCAATCTGTCGTAGAAAACGCGGTAAACCTCGTGCACCCACAATCTGATCAACTTGCCTGGGTCTGTAGCACGGATACCAGGAAACAGAAGAATTCCCTGAAAAGAGAAACGTCCTGAAATTTATAAAGAGGTTAGGTCACAATATTGGGGATACTGTACAAACAAACACAACAGATGTACAGACAGACACAACAGAACCATACAAGCCGCTAGGGTCTAGACGTGTACGGTACATCAACAATTGCACAGGACTTCAGACGAATGCAGAAAACCCTAATCCTGCTAGATAGTTTGAGAAGCCCGAATGAAAAACTCGGTGAAGTTTCAAAGACAAATTGCCAAACCGTAGGTGTAATTCTGTGGCTTAGATAAAGATTACGACAGTTTCTTGTAATGCATTGCGATACGAACCTGTACAACCCTGGCAAAATCCCTGAGATTAAACACATAGTGCGATTTAGAAGGTGTGGGCAGGAAGCTAGTGATGGCTTGAGTATAAACCTCAGTGATGGCGCTGATTATAATCTGAAAGATAAAGTACGAGCGCTGAGGTAATTAACTGGAAAGGAGAATTGACTACTCTGTCATATAGGCACAATCTCACTCCGTTAACTTTTACTTTTCAAAATGCAGTTAAATATCATGTAACCAAGTAAACAATTATGAGCGTACTGTTCTTTACGATCAGCGGTCAACCTACTGGACGATAAGCGTTTCTCCTCGCTGCAGCGTTTCGTTCAGTCGTCAAAGTGTGGATGTGGTTTCCAGTGAGTTTCAAAAGGGACTTTATGGTCCCCTCCCACAACCCCTCAAACCCTCCCTTAATCGTGCCTTTTTATTAATGGATGCCTGCATGTAGGTGCTCAAGGCTGCACGGCGGAAATTTGCCAGACATTGGAACGTATTCTATCTAAGGGCTGGCACGGTAAATCAGTACTCTTTCACGTCCCGCGCGCCTAGTAGCCATTCACAAAAGACAAAATGTAAAATACAACCAAAGGACTAGGGAATGATATGTTAATCAACTGTGATGCCATCGCTTATACATAAAAGCGTTTATCGCTGCTAGTTTCCAGTTGCAATTTGAAAAGCGATAAAAGAAAAAAATTACTTCTTTTAAGGGACAATTTGAAAGAAGGATGACACTACAAGTCTCACTGTACCTTTGAAAACCGTCGTATCTGCATTTCAAAGCCATGGTTGTTAAAATGCCAGTCCATGATGACAGAGAAGATGTTTCTCATTGTTTCTGTGCTGAACGAGTCAATAGAGATGATGTTAAAATGCCTCAGGAACCGAGGAGTGATTTCATTCCTCCCTCCTCCGGGAGGACCCATGGCTGACACTAGCAACTGGTCAACGAGCGTAAGTACTGATGTGTCTTTCCTGTCAATCAAATCAAGAGAGAAATAAATTTAAATTTTCAAATTATGTTTCAGCAAAGTGACCGACATTTTTGTCCGAAAATTAAACCGACGAAATTTTAACGTCCGAAATTTTTTGTAATGTATGCTGTCCAACTTCCAGTTTCTCTGTTTCTATCTTAAGAACCACATGACTTTTCTTTCCAAAAATTACGAGATCACGGCCATTACAATCGTGTTTTAAAAGATTAAGGCCTCACCGGGAAACCACACATGGCCAGCGGTCAGACGCATGAGAGTTTACCTGTCAAACCAGTATCCATGATCAATCCACTGTCGCAGGACCTCAATGGGGGGCTGGGCACCATACTTCTCCTTAGCTGGCATGTTGAGATCATCCACAAACACCACTACCTTCTTACCAATGGCTGGTCCATATACACCACGCTTCCGCCTGCAAAGAGAACCATCACAGAGATCAAAAGCTGATGAAAGAAGGTAGAGGCATTACTTCATCAAATGGTACCAGAACTATATTTATAATGCTACGGAGTGCAGCGAAATCTCCTTTGGCTCGTCATTTTTCGGTAGGCTTTTCAAGCAAATCGCAATGGCAACCAACCGATTACAAGTTGAAGTTTAACTCTATAAAATCCCGTTATGGGTTCAACCCTGCACACGAGTACTGAATTTCAACTGTAAAAACCCAGTCAAAGCAATCCCATCTGGCCAATCACAACGAACGTGAACAATACATTGGACCAATCAGACCTCGAAGCAAATTCATGCACGTGGTACGAAACGTAGAAAAACGAGCAGTTTCAGCTTTGTCCTAATTCAGTGTTTGATTAAAAAAAGTTCTGCTCTGCCTCTTAGAGTAAGTTACTCGACCTTTTTGTGACCAGCAGAGCGTTAACATAACTCAAAACCAAATCAAACGAGCGAGATAGACTTTGGACAGTGAATAGAAAACCACCACCGGATAAAAATTCTTGGCTATCCAACCAAACACACGTTAGTTATTACCTGTCCAATTTTGAAAGAATCATGTCTTGAGTTTGGTTTGAAGTCGTCTGAGCAGAAAAGTTCATGAAATTAGCGATGTACCTGAAAAAGTCACATAAAGAGAGAGGCATTGTGAGAGAAAAGCATGACCTCGGTCAGTACCTTGAACAAGACCCCTCGATCCGGAGTCGCGACGTATTCATATCCCTAATGGAAACTAGCCCTTCAAGACAGATTTAAGCCAAAATCTCCAGTTATTTGACTTACTTTTCTGCAGGCATCCGCAGAATGTAGTTGTTGGTAATTGCTGATTTTCCCGTCCCCGTCGGACCAACCAACAGCAATGGCTTTTCGTGACTGAGGAATAACTCCAAGAAATAACGTTGACGAACTGTCTCTGTAGTGGGTATGATCATTTCATTCGGCTGCAAGTACATAAAAAAATATATACACAGTTCAGTGTTACAGGAGCTCAGTTACGGTATTTTGAGTTGTTTTGGCCACGTCCAAAATTACTTTTAAATTACAAGAAACCTGAAAATAGCAGTCTACTAAGATAGAAACAATCCAAAGAGATAATAATAAACCATAAAGGAACAAGGATGGTTAAGGATTATCACGGATAACAAACGACGAACTTGAAAACTTTAAGCTAAACATTTCAGGATGCGCAAACTGTGGCGTAGCTCCTAACGCTCAAAATCTGCCATTCTTAGAACCTCTGCGGTCATGGAAACACTCCAAGATCATCCACCAGCAATTTTGTGAAATTCTCCACAACAAAACGCCGCGAACAGGACTGACTGAGAACAATGCTTCATTGCACATGAACTAACATTTGAATTTAATTTTTAGAAATTGGATATGATACGCAATCAAGTCGTTTATTGAATGCGAGACAAGCAATCAATTGTCATTGAGCGGTTTTCAATTGAGTGTAAATGAATAAATTAGTAAATTGGTTTCTATCAAGCGAAAAGACTCCAACGACAAAAGAGATTTTCCATATATAAAATGCGTCTATAAATCAAAGTAACACTGATTAAGAAATTGAAGGCGATGTTAGGTTGGGAGGTTGAAAGAAAACGCGAACTTTATAAGCAGAGCGTATGTATCAAGGATCTTGCCCTGGCAAGAGACCTTTCCACAAAGATAGGATGTGACCCACCTTGGCGTTGGCTGGGATCTCCTCGATAAACACTTCTTTCTCCCATGGATGCCAGGTACCGAAGGTTGATTTGTCAAAGAAGAAGTCGTAAATCACTCCTTTTCCAGGAAACTGGAAATTCTTTGGAAGCTTTAGATCTTTGGGTCTGAATAAATTAAACACAATGTTAACTGAGTGTTTCGCTCATTGAGCCCGGTTTTATGTACCCGTGTTTTGAACTAACAATTCATACACAAGCCTGCTTTAGGGACATTTAACTTTATTCAAGTTAAAAGTAACGAGAAATCAACCTATCAAATCTCTAATTTCTTTCTTTCTTTTGTTGCTGTTGTGTTACTGCTTGACATATTAGCGAGTCTTGACATATTAGTGAGTCGAAGAAAACATAGGCGTGGTGAATTCAACGTCTTCGTTCATGTTAAGATAACTTTTATTCCAACCTTTGGTGTTGCTTGTTAGTGCCAGCCTCCAAGACTTTCAGGAAATCACTGAACTTGAGCCTGGAATCAGTGTCCAGGTTCCCGCCGATCGACCAACACAGAGAGAACAGGAAAAGGGACTGGAGCCACTGCATGATCTCAGTCTCTGTCTTGGCTGGCTTCTCGTCCATAGATGTCTCAAACTGTTCTTCATCCATTACGGTCCTTCTCTTCTCCTCCTGAGGTGGTTCCCTAAGAAAAATAATAAATCAACCATGATCTAGGCTCGATTGCCAGCTGCAGTTCGGGAAAGGAGCACGCGAACCTTTCCCGAAGCCATTTTATATTCTCGTCTCAAGGAGGAACATACACCGGACTCAAGAGAGCGCCGGGCGGAAATCGAGCCTACCACGATCCAGCGTTACATTTTACCAACCTTCTGTATCTGTTATGATTGTTGAGCGCAAATTCGATATCAAGCTCTTGTTAACCGAGCAGGTCTGTATCGAATAATCTTGACCAAGGACAGAACGCAGTGAGCTCTGTTCACACGACCGAGGTCAAGATTCTCCCACACAGACCGACTAAGCTCGGTTAATAAGATGTTTATTACATGGCAAACAAGCACAATTTTTAAATTTGTTTAATGTAACTGGTTTGTACTAACTGACATTTTGCTTGCGAACGGCGTTGAGCTGAACTTAATTCTGTCAAAGCTTACTCGTCCTCTTTACTTTTTTTCTCAACACGCTTTTTGGCACTTCCATAAATGAGTATTGGTAAAATAAAATACTCAATATTTTTGCATTTTAGTTTGCAACTTTTTCACCGCAAAACATTACTGGTCTAAATTCCGGTCTAGATGGGAAAATCCAAACCGCTTTCAATATCGATTTCAGCCAATGAAATTCATGAATTCGATAGTTCCCAGTCCTTGTGAGACACGGCCATATAATAAGTCAGATTATTCCACATAGCAAGAGACGTCGTCTATTCAACACAGCTATAACGTCGTTTATATAATAATGGAATGGGTCCACTGTTTTACAAGAGTGGTTCGTTGCTTAGAAACATTAAGCAGCTCTCTGGTAATGAGCAAGCTGACATGGTAACTTTCGGCATGCTTAATAGTGCTTGCATGCCATGTTTGGTTTGATAAATAAACAATCCAAAACACAGTCGGTTTCACGACGATTATCCAAAAACGGGACTTGTTCAAATGCTACAGACCCTATTCATAAATGGCTGCCAGTTTAAAATTCTTTTGTGTGCATTTAAATTAGCCCAACTAACCTCGTTTGAGAGTAAAAATTCTTTTGAATTATCAACTCAAAAACGAGGTTAGTTGGGCTAATTTTAACAATAACAAAATAATTTTTAGTTGGCAGCCATTTATTAATAAGGTCTACAATGAATGGCGAGTCTGGTGAAATGGTTGTCTGTCTAACTACAGCTTCTTGTAACTGCTTGTGATAAAGCAGTCGAGTCACTTACCTAAGCTCGTCCAGCAGAATGGAATACATGGTGAGCATGGATTTCACCATATGCATTGGTGAGGTGCGCACGAGTTCACGGCATTGCCTGGTGACGAATTCCAAGCACGGGGGAATCAACCAATCAAACATCATCTACGGATTAAACAAAACCGAGTCACAAGATTCAGATTTTATTGTTCTGCTCTTTTTCTTACAGGCTAGCCAAAATAGTTACAGAGACAGCTAAGAAAAAGAAGAAAACAGTGACTTTAGAAAGAAATAACATTCTAATAACAATTAAGCTTCCACGGAGTTATGGTTTGTAGCATTCTGTGTAATCCTCAGAGCATGACCTGCGTCCTAACTTACGCAAACGTCGTGTCAATAATCAGCAGTAAGTCTTTCATGAAAAGTAATGATTAGAAGGGAGCGGTAAAGAGTATCTAATAATAGACGAATTCGGCTGACGTGTTTACATCTTTGTCACTACCCAATTCGGACCACGTAATGATTCATTAGGGAAATTACAATTGTGCAATTACAATTGTGCAATTTGTCACACACAACTGGTTGCAGGGGAGTATGTACAAACAGAACAATTGCAACCTCACAAATGAATCATCACATGATCTGAATTGAGTGACAACAAGGACAAAAACACCTTAGCCGAATCCGTCTATGAACAATAATAACAAAAATGCAAAACATTAAACAAACATTCTGAGCCAAGGAGATCTTTAACATAGAAATACGATCAAGGCAAGGACTCACTTGAATCATACAACAACAAAGAAGCGGTTCTACGTTACTTATGTCTTGAAGTCAAAACCTGAACTTGACAGTCAGTTGACACAAGTTATTTTGCATTCATACCTGGATTGAGTTCTTGCTGGCAGTGCTGAGGTTTGGCGGATACTCCTTCTCCATCCATGACGCTACAAGTGGCTCCCAGCCCAGCTGACTTGGCTCCATGTAAATCATTCCACATCTGAATAAAAGGAGATAATTTGATTACCTGTAACTCAACTACAATAGCGTGTCAAACTCCCTAAAAGTGAAGTTTATACGATAGCCCCGTACCCTTTTGCCAGGCTAGGAAGCCAGGTCTAATCTCAGTTTCAAACGCCTCGCATATAACAATTCCGTTTCTGAAAATTGAGAGGGCCAACAGTTTTCGTGAAGTCGTTGTTAAACAACAGGACGAAACCGTAATGTCAACGGAGTTATCTTTCAATTGATACTAAGTAGGGGTGAACTCTTTTAAGATCAACAACAAGTAATGACAATGAAGAAAGCAAACCACGGTACGTTCTTGACGAACGATAACAACGCAATCCAATTCACGTCACATTTGGCACACGGCCACTGTCTCTTACCTGCTGACCGTGGCTGGTGAAGCTTGCTCCAAGTCTTGAGGTTCAAAAATCATGTTCTGTAGTGAACTCATCTGAATGATCTCTCCGCTCATTAAACACAACTGCAAGAGCAATAGTACAGTTACTCATTTTCTACACTCCCTAGGGCGACCACAGTCGAAGTCAACACATCAAAGCTTCTTTTCGTCGAAGCACGTAACAATTTCGAAAAAATTCTGGTTGTTACTGTCGTACCTTTCTGTTGTCGTCCAGTACAGTGTTCATGTTTTCGATCCACACAGCATCAACAGGGCCATCAAACACAATCCATTTTCGATCCTCACTGACGGAGCTTGCATGCTCACGGAAAGTGTTCGCAAGTACACCTGGTTAGCAATAAAGTAGACAATTATTTGAATGTTTTATGCTGGTCAAACTTCCTCCAAAATTTCAACAAATAGAAAGGCAAATAGTCATCAAGGGAAATACTTGCCATCTGACCACTCGTGCGATACGGGATCAAACCTTCCATACAACTGGCCCATGGTGACCGCTTTGGGATTGATGATCCTGTACTGTACCTGTAAATTTACGTGACGTTGGGTTATGAGAGCTTAAAAGTTCTTTATGATCTCTAAATGAACAGCACGAAAGAGTTACTTGGCTTGCACAAAAACCATCTTCACGTTTTCCTCCATATGTTTTTCTTTTTAAATTTCTCATTAATCCTCTCTTATTCCGTCAGTTTTGCTTGATGTTAAGGATATGGTTTCAGACACAGATCAATAGAGTTTGAACTGTCCAAGTCTCGCTTTTCCCTCAATCAATCCACCTGGGTAGAAGGAGGCACTTATGAAAGAAACATGTTTCTCCAAATGCAAAACATGACACGAAAAGCAGGGCTCAAATATGAAGTAACTGTGACCCTCAAGTTTAATCAAACCTACAAAAATTAAGACAAACTCATCACATGTATACAAAAACCTTTAACCTATTTCACAAATAGTTTTTCCATACCGGTACTTCGTCTGAATCCTCGTCCCTGCCCAGCTCAGATAATGCTGCAGCAAGAACCTTCCACGCTGATGTCTTACCACCAATAGGATCACCCACAATCATAAAGCCATGGCGAACCAACATCATCTCGTACACCTAATCAGTAACAACAAATTCAAGCAGCAAGGAATGGAGACTGTGCCATGTAATATATCAAACACTGACCAAGCTGTAAGGCCAGTTAAACACTGACAGAGGCTAATGTACTGTAAATGGCAAACGCTCAGTTTTTTTTCAGTGCCCGTAGTTTCTTTAACGAAAAAGTATAATCAATGGTTTGAATTTTTCTCCAGCTATTCTGATAATAAACTATGCTAGGCAAGCAGCACTTCATGCTGTGATGAAAGTCACATATTGTTGATAAGTCATGGCTGCTTTCTATCGCTAAAACCGCGCGTGAGGTTTGGATGACCATAATTCCAAGGGGATTCCAGGAATTTCTTTTGTTTTACGCAATTTATCACACACGAAAGACCATGTTTGACCACATTTTCAGAGACCGAGTAGGAAATTAAAAACACGACGCTTAGCGAAGTATTTTAACGAACTTCGAGGTGTCTGAAAATGTGGTCAAACACTGTCTTGAGTGTTTGATATATCTTCTCAATCGAAACTAAAACTAAGAACAAAACGAAGAAATAAAATCGTAAAAATCTACGGTAACTGAAGATCAGATATCCAAACACTGTCACGGTCATGATTTCCTGTTTTTAACCTGATGAATTTTCAACGAGTTTGAGCAGGCCAGTTTATTTAAGGAAGAGTATCACTGATGGATGTTTTGAATTCATCACCAGTTATTTTCAACATAAACTATGCTGGGCCAGCAGCATTTCGTACTGCGATGATAGTCACATGCTGGGGATAAAATAATGGCTGCTTTCAAACGTTCAAACCGCGCGTCAATCCCAAGGAGCTTCCAGGAATTTCTTTTGTTTTACGCAATTAATCACACACGAAAGACCGTGCTTAACCATATTTCCAAAGACCAAAGAACATCCAGGAAATTACTGATTTTGTTTCACTCGACAATATCAACATAGTTTTACTCCATTTTAATACCAACTTGATGGTAACAGTATCTACTAATACAATGTTAACGGTGCCTTGAAAATTAGGAAATCTCGAAAGCACTAAACTTTGAACGAACCTGTACAACTTTGTCAACAAACCAAGGTACAGCCTGCAGTCCCATCTTCCGGATGTTCTTTCTGAGCGCCTCCTCCAGGACACCATGGTCAGGAGATGGCAGAGTGATGCCTGGGAACAAGTCTGACACGATGCCCTCAAACAAAGGCAAGTCTTGTGACAAAAACTGGAAAACAAATGATAAAGTGAGATCGGTTTAAATCACAAAAAAAAAAAAAACAGCATTAGCCAAATAGCAGCAACACAATAAGTCTAGTTACTGGCAAAACCAGAAGCAACTGCTCGCACTTTTCCCTTGTGAATGTTAATCGCGGGAACAGTTAATAAACACTATTTCGCATTTTCAGTCAAATATAAAATACAGTCAAGAGGTTTGAATAATTAAGGCTTTAGGTGAAAACTCTGAGAACATTTTAGACTGTGGGGCATTGAAGCTACGGTAACTTCATTTCTCGCTCGAGTAAGACTTTTTTTTCAGTAAACAGAGAGTTACTAAGAGCGTCTGCGCTCGCCCTAGGTCGCGTGTTTGATAAGGCATGTTTCAAACACAAATAAAGGTATGGACGGGCAAAGACGATGGAACAAGAGTGGTTTGCTACGTTTATCACTGGCTATATGAAAACACTCTCTTTTAAATACTGGTTAGCGCCGGACGCGGGATCTTCGAAGACTGTAAAATCGTCGCTTGTTTTCGTAATTTAGCTCTTTTCCGTGTTTTCCTCAAGTGGGGTTCGTCAGTCGGTTCGTCATTCACTTTATAATGACATCAAAATTTACATAGCTAGAATACTTCTCGCAATACGTGTACAACAAAGACAGCACGAAAGCTTTAATTGTACGGTAGACTTCATAAGTTCGGGACAAAAGAAAGAACAGTTTTGATTCGCCTAAAGAAATTCATCGTAATATTAGAAAGAGGGAGGTTTAACTTTTTTCTTATTGAGTATTTTCAGATGAAACGTGACTGAAACTTGTATTATCGCTAATGTGTTTACTTCATCAAAAGACATGTATATAAAAGCAATTTCACCTGTTTATTAACCAAACAATATCCATGTGTGTCAACTATTTCTCTCCAAAAGATGTGATAGCGAGAATGGTCAAATGAAAAAAAAAAATGAAATGAATTTCACTGTTTCTTCTCAGTTGTTTAGATTTTATGAAGATGGTTACGGTAGGAGTAATAAAAAAAGTCGAACATCCTCTTTCCAGTAATTAATATATTATATTTTAAATTCTTGTTCATTCAATTCTACATTTAAAAGCTTTGTGTAAAGTAAACACATAGGATGGAAAGAAAACTAAAAAGTGTTTGCGTGTAAACCCGAAAGTTCGTTTTAAAAACGAAATGCAAGTTGTAAGAATAGATATAATTACTCAAAGGCCTGCAGGGCATCTGTTAAAATTTGCATTCAGATAGAATGGAATCGCATTCTGTTTATACAAAGATAGTAGCTTGTCATGCATTAGTTAAGATTGAAATCACTAATTGTCATAGTTATTTCAAACACCTGATCGTCATCACATTCGTCAATTCACATTGTCACGTCTTAAAAATGTGTTATTTACTCTTTTATGCAACAAAACAAGAGGAGAACACATGAAAAAGGGTAAATAAATACAAAACCCAAAGGAGTTCCCTTTGTATTTTTCCTGTTAAATTAGGGATTTGCTTTAACGTTCCTAAACGAGCTTAAGTTGGTTAACTTAAAATTGAACGCCCGATTAAGGAGTGATTTAAAATTGCAAAAAAATTAGTTATTAGAGAACAGCAATATTTAAGATGAGTAAGCATGTCACCGAGTGTCATTAACGAGCTATTGTAATAGATATTTTGGGGGTATTGGCCAAGTTTTGTATACTGCTTGAAAGCAAACCTAAGATAGTGCTTTCAAGTTGCTTTAATAACAAATTTAATCTGACTGGCAGGTGTACGTGCGGGAGAACGTGCCTTTAAACTTCCGCTAAATGAAAAGAGAGCTTGGGTGTTCTAAAATTGTCGTCCGTGAAGTTAAAGGAAGGAAAAACACCCAACAAGGCAACATGAACAACTCCAGTATCGGTGACTTTGAGGACCAATCAACATATTTTCCTATCGCCTCGACGACAATCACAGTAGTAATTTCCTTGGTTAGTATTTTGGCCATTGTCGGCAATGTTCTGGTTACAATGTCTGTTCTGATGAAAGCCAATCTTAGAACCAGCACTAACTACTTCATCGTGAACATGGCTGTTTCTGATCTGCTCTCAGCTCTGACTAACTGGCCTCTGTACGCCACTGAGGGGATGCTTTCAGGGAGAAGTCCCATCGAGGGTTCCATGGCTACGTTAGTGTGCAAGCTGGGAATGTATTCCAGAGCAATTTCACAAGCGGTTTCAGTTCTTAGCCTTGTCCTGATCGTGGTNCTGGATAGTAGTTAGCAGAAAGCACTCGCTCGATTTTTTCTCTTCATGGCTCCCCTTGCACGATTTTTTTTTGCAGTTGAAAGATAATTAAATAGCTACCAAATATTGCCGCCTGAAATTTTCACGAACCTTGGGCAAGTTGACATCCATGATGGACCTCAAGAGAAGAATATCCTCGTCTTGTTCAGGATACTTCAGTTTTAAATTTCCCGCCGCAGTAAGAACAGACTTGACCGCTCGCATACCGTAATCATAATGGTGTTGAGAGGAAAGCTGTTAGAAGCAAAGCAGAAAAACAAATTACTTCAATTGAACAGCAATTGTGTCTCAATATCAATGATACGGATACCAATGACTACAGGACCACGGCTACAATGGCACACGTTGTCATTAAATTTGCGGATGAGTGTTGGACAAATTCATCAGTAAATTCGTTGGTTTCGTCTCGTAGCAGGTGAAAGACCGATTTGTTACTTCTTGGTGAGGTTACCAATGATAAAAGTTTGGTCAATGAACAAAACATCAGGATTAGTTGCCAGGTTTAACCCTTCAGCAGGAGTGAGAAGAACGAAAATCAAACAAAAAAGATATTAGCTCGGTGATGTGCGAGTAAAGAGCTCGAATGCATACAAATACCTTAAAAGAACCTACTCAGACTCCGCCATTTTCGATGCCATCGAAAATATTGATATTGCATGGTGAAGCTAATCTTAATGCTTTACCGTAAGTTGTGTTCCTGAAAGCTTGTTTAATTGTCTTTAGTAGTTTAACAGTGATTTCCTTCGTTTCGACATGCTCCGAATAAAATGCAATAGCCTAACTCTCGCATGTAAACCAAAACCAAAGGTGTAGCTGACTAGGGCCCTTTAATGTTACTATTTTCTTACCTGCTCAGAGCAGAGCCTGTACACAGCCACAATCTTAGCCGACAAACTGCGCGCGTTAACAAATCCCATGGAATATAAACTGATCTCACTAATCAACGCATAGTCAGGTACCATCATAGCAACTGTACGGAAAAGAACCTAAAATGTATAAAATCAGAAAGAGATATTCAGTCCTGTAGTAATTCTTCAGCACGCCAACAATGTCAGGAGGAAACTGAAATCGAGTAGATGCTACAACTCAGCTTACAGCATCACCTCGTGTGACCTAATAAGTCTCTATCTGTCAGAGCACGTCCAGTTTAATTCCATTTTAAAGGGACACTGTCACCATTTTTATCTCAAAAACGTATATCGATCTTTGGAAGAATGGTTTTATTTTGTAGAGCAGTACTCGACAAATGATTGGAACCTATTAGGAAGTGAGGATGGCTAACGATGGCGAGGATGGAAACGGATTGCGATATGGATTTTTGAAAAAGCGTCAGGATGTCAGTTTTCAAAGGTTCAAGTTTGGCTCGAAAATCGTCGAAATTTTGCAAAAATGTTGCTGCAGTGCGGACTTTTTTCAAGAAATTGCGTTTAATCATTAAGTTCGAGCTAGTTAAGTTCTCATTACATAAATTTAGGGACCATTTCGTGAATTTATAACAGTTTTAAACAAATATATCGTGACAGTGTCCCTTTAAGTCTTAACTGATAACTCGTCCCGACGAGTCACGAGATTATTTTCTGCTCACCTTAAGATTGTCGGGAAGTTCTGCACGACCAGCATAACCCGGGTTCATTGTGATAAAAATGGTACAAGATGGATCCAGTGAGATTTCTGTTCCTTCAAATACAAACTTATCCACTTGCTCCATGACGGCCCTCTGGATTGTCAAGATTTGTTGAGCTACAACGGACAGCACCTAAGCAACAAAATCAAAGAACCAAAGGACAAAGTCTCTCGCTTAAACGAAATTCACTTCTTTTTAAGAATGCTGCACTGCCACCTGGCACGGGGTCTTATCAGTCCAATTCGTGCTTGGTGTATACCAAACGTGGAGGCGGGGTGGTCTCATGGTTAGAGCGCTCGACTCCGGATCCAGCGGTAAGGGTTCGAGCCCTGGCCGGGGACAATGTGTTGTGTTCTGGGGCAAGACACTTAACTCTCACAGTGCCTCTCTCCACCAGGTGTATAAATGGGTACCGGCGAATTTAATGCTGGGGTAACCCTGGGATGGAATTGCATCCTATCCAGGGGGAGGGGGCAGAAATACTCCTAGTCGCTCCATGCTACAGAAACCGGGATAAGCTCTGCCTGATGAGCCACTTGGCTTGTATGCAGACTTTACCTGAGTTTCCCCCTCCCCATACCAAACAGAGAGGAAGCTTTATCTCATTGTGCATCTACAATGTCTAAATTCGACAATTAAGATTGAACGGTGAGGTGTTTTAACACCAGTTAAGATTTTGTCGCCCTTTTTGCGTTAAGGTGGCCGAACACAGTTTTCAAGAGCCTATGCTTAATTCACCATTACTTTTAAGCTATTTATGCTTTGGCGCTCGTTTTTTGCAAGAGTCAA